ACCGAATGCATTTTGCGGTATTCACCCCCATGTCGGATTGTACAGATTTAATTGGACGGGAAAACTGTTTTTCAACTAACGTACAAAACATAGTAAAGATAGAGTATATGTCTGATTTTAATTTCATTGGGTACAACCACATATACCGGGAGTGGCCGTCGACAAATAAGACGAAATATTTATATCCATTAGTTGACGGGACTGCGGACGGACCCCAAATGTCCGTGAAAATCAAATCTAAGACAGACTGACTAGAGTGTTCTACGCGTGCCAACGGAAAACGGGCGAATTTGCCAAATTGGCATGCATTACATAGATTATTCAAAGACTTAAATGAACCTACAATAGGACAACTGGATAAAATCTGCTGAAGTACTCGAATGTGGGGATGCCCTAGACGTTTATGCCAAACTTGCGGTGATGCCTTGGCAGACAGCAACGCGATCGGAGCAGAGATGTTTAGGGAGTACAGTCCGCCCTCGCTAGGACCTCTAAGAAGTGTTTGGTGAGTTGTATGGTCCTTCACAACAAAGTAAAACGGGTGAAACTCAAAATAGACATTGTTATCCTGTGTAAACTTTTAGACTGAGAGAAGAGATGCACCCAGTTTAGGAACATGCAAAACTCTTTTTAGAAACAGAGACCGCGACTTGGAATTTAAAGACACAGAACCAGTGTTATGGATTGACAAACCTAACTTGTCTCCTATGCGCAGTGCTTCTCCCCCGGGGTATGGTTCAACGTCATTGAGTGTATCAACATTTGGGGTAGCATGTGCATTGGCTCCAGTGTATCACATATTTGACACCTCACGCCACCACGATCATGGTTTCCTCTGCCACGTTGTCCACGCTGGTTGCGGCCTCGACCACGACCACCGTTTGCCGGAGCTCGGGAATTCGACGCAGCCTGACTCGCGATCAACGCCGACAGCGGTGGCTCAGCGACTGGATTGACATCTTCCGGGAAGAGATAGTAATGTGTAGAAAGAAGGTCTGCAACCTCCGATAAGGTCAGCGGTGCTGCTTTGGTAGTCAGCGACGCCACTAATGATCTGTATTCCGGGCGTAAACCTCTAAAGACGTGGAGGTTTTGTTCATCTAGCCTGATAGGACGGCCAACCTGTGCTAATTATTCGATCAGAACCTGAGCTCGCCCGAGATATTTCGACGGCGAGGATTCACCTTGGCGGAGACTTTGTAGCTGTGTTAGCAGGCTTAAGGAACGCGAGCGGGAAGCAGAACGGAGGGTTGTTTCAATCGCCATCCAAACTGACCTGAAGGTGCTGTGACCAATGGCGAGATACAGAACTTCCTCAGATAAGGAGGATATCAACATGCTCAGAATACTCTGGTCTTGCTGTTCCCAAATGGCACGCATGGAGTCTGCCGCAGACGCTGTTGATGAAAAGGAGGCAGCGACGATCTCCGATGGGCAGGGGTTCGTGCCGTCCACGAAGCCATACAAATTTTGGCTGCGCAAGAAGGGAACGAACTGCGCTCTCCAGGGAACAAGTAGTTCATGGAGGTCAGCTTAATAGACACATAGTGATGTGCCTGCTGAAGTGTGTTGGGGGTCCGAGAGCCATTCTGCGAAGCAATGGCGGCGGACCGGTTGGACAAGATGACCGGAGTAGTTTCAGTCACCGGTGGTGGGTTGTTATCGCTTTGGTTGGCCATAGGATTGAAAACTTCTTCTAATACCAGATGAATGTGTAATATATTGGGATTGATTATTGAAAGAGATTACACGGTTATTATATACTAAGCTATAACATAAACTTAGGGAGATAGGTGATGACTGACAATCTAACAATAACCCAAGACTCTAACTACTCTAATAGTGAAAAAATTTTAGTGTGCCCTTGTTATAATTGTAAGAATTTGAGGAAATTATATAGTTCTGAGCAAGTGATCAATTTGAAGAGTCATTTAATATTTTACGAGTTTAAGGAAGGCTATAACTGGTGGATATGGCATGGTAAAAGTGTAATTCCTATACTAGTACAAGTACAGGTGGTAATAGAATAAACAATGATGAAGAAAATGATGATAATGAAAAGATTTTAGACAATGAGGAAAATTGAGAGAATTATCAAATAGATGAACTCATGCGTGATATTCAAAGATATTTTTGTGAAATGCCTCTTGTATTTGAAAGTTTCTATGTTGATTCAGAAAAACCTTTGTTCTCTGGGTGTAGTAGAGTTACAAAATTATCTGTTGTGCTAAAATTGTAAGTATTTTCCCTAATATAATATATTATAATATATTGTATTAATGAAGTGACTGTGGTGCAAGTAGATGACTAAGTCAATTAGTGATTTAGTCAGTTAGGTAACTTTGGATATTCAGTTTAGCTTTGACGGATATCTACCAATATTGATGACATGTAGGCTTCTAAGCAAAATAGTCATCCCACAGCTCCCGTATTCAACATACACATACCATCTGGTATTCGGGAGAGAAGTGGTAGACGAAACACTAAGTGTTATTCTGCAAGTTTACCATCCTACCACGGGCAATTCCAACAACTATGGCGTGAGATATTCAAATGATGATCATAGAGCTTCCGCTGTTACGAGTCAGGTTCCTCGTTATTCTAAATTTACTTTAGTTTGTGTTAGTCCATATTACTATCTAAAAAAAATTATATAACTTAAAAGCAAAGAATGGATGGAATAATAAGAGCTTTACATAGTCATTATACCTTTTAAATGACGTGCTTCCTGATGATAATAAGCTTTCTATTTTAACTTTTGAGGCAATGAAAATGTTGTGCCCATTCGTATAGAGATCAAGAAGCTAGATACATGCATGTCCAAATGATTGTATATTGTATTGGTAGGAATATCACGACGTGCATATATGTCCAAATTGTGGAGCATCCCGTTATAAGAGAAAAAATGTTGGTGATGGATGTGAGGATAACGAAGGCCCTTCAGTGAAGGTGTTGTGGTGTCTACCTATGATACCAAGATTCAAACACTTATTTGCAAATTCAAATGATGCAAAGAATTTTCAGTGACATGCTAAAAGGAGAAAAGGGGATGGAAAATTAAAACACTCATACAATTATCCTTAATCAAGGAACGTTAATAGAACGTTTCGTGAATTTGGCAATCAAAACAGGAATCTTAGGTTTGGATTATGCACCAAGGGAATGAACCCCCAATGGATAATTAAATTACTAATACAAGTTCATTATTACACACTCATTGAGTTACTACCACGGATTCATTAAGTTACAACTACAAGCTCATTAAGTCACTAGTACATGTTAATCAATTTAATACTATAGGTTCATCAAATCATTGTTTCAAATATATTAAATAACTAATGTAGGTCGTTTAGGTCATTACTATGCGTTCATTAAGTTATTACTATAGGTCAATCACAAATTAAAATAATTGAAACAACATATATATATATATATATATATATATATATATATATATATATATATATATATATATATTGAAAAGAGAATAATATATTTAAGTGATGATGATTAATCAATAGATGTCATTTTAATTATAGTCTTGTTATAATGAAAATGCATTAATTTTATAATGAATCTACACCATATTTGATTCATATGAATTTTTAATGAATCTCCAATATTAATATAATTAACTTGGGTTCATGATATAATTTGGCAAATGAAATGCTTTGGGTAAATGCTCAAGTAGGGGGCAAATTATACAGTGGATCGCGATTTACAATGTATTATAGTCTAGGTATCAAAACAATGTCGTTTCTTTTAATGAAAAAAAAAAAAACGGCATCCGTTCTGCGCCGTTTCGCAAAAAGTAATTTTGTTTGTACAACATATTCAGTTTCATTTTATATACACTGCAGTTTCATTTCAACACAACTATAGTTTCATTTCGATATAACTACAGTTTTATTCAACATTATACACACAAATATGCGAAACTGTTATTCAGTTTCATTTTATATACACTATAGTTTTATTACAATACAACTACAGTATCATTTCGATATAACTACAGTTTCACTGGACAATATAGACCCAAATATGTGAAATTGTTATTCAGTTTCTTTTCAATTCAATTACAGTTTCATTTGATAATATAAAAACAATATGTGAGGCTATTTCAGTTTAAATACACTGTAGTTTCATTTTGTAATTAGCACATAAAAAATACATGCTCCGTTAAACTGTAACGGCTGCTGTTTTTTTACTTAAAGAAACGGCGCCGTTTTTGAACAATGGTCCACAAAATTTTTTGGACCATGATATAATTGCTGCAAGTATTGGGGGAGGGGGAGGAAGAGGTCTTACTCGACAATTCTACCCTTACTATAGTTAATTCCATTAAGAAAAATATAAACATTTTTCAAATTTTCTATTATTTCTTTTACGAGTCAATTTATTTCATTTTGGTCCCTAAATTGTTTCCTACCTATCAATATAATTCATTGTATTCAATTTCAACTAACTTGATTCTCGAATTGTTTAAAAATTCATCAAATAAACCCTTCTAGCATCAAATTGACGAAATTTTAAAATAGAGAATCACCATTTTGGTCTCTCAAAATTAAAGTGTTTAATGATGAAATTTTAAACAATTTGAGGATCAAATTAGTTGAAATTGAAAATTAAAAACTACATTAACATTTGGAAAACAATTGAGGGAGCAAAGTGATTTTCTCTGTTACTTACTATCAATTTCAAATTTTGATGCTAAATTATGATAAGATGTTGGAAATTCGACATATAACCTTCACAACCTCTATAAATACCTCCCATATAATACTAGAGAAGGGCGAAAAAAACAGACATACAAGTAGGGACTATATATACTTTAGGAACACGGTACTTACTCATATATACGATTATTGATATTTACTTTATCAATACCAATTAGTTAAATTACTTAAATATTTCCGCAATGGAATAGTAATTAATTGGGCACAAAGTCATGCAGATAATAAATATAAAATAATAAAAACACATTTTTTTTATTAATTAAATACCTCATACAATGTGTTTTTTAAATAACCAAAATATTTCTATGTTTTATTTGAATCTTTATTCATGTCATAATCTATTTTTTAATAGATATCATGGAAATTTGAGTGCTTAAATAAAAATATATTATATGCTCTTGTCGGGTAGGGGTGTGGGGGCCCTTAGGGTTGGGATTCAGCCTTTTGGAAGAACAATTGATCAACTGGCAGTGACAGCCATTTTCATCCCTGTTTTACAATGACCAGTAAAACCACAAATATAGTAGCTAGTTCCACTTGTCAATGTAACGTGATCGTGCCCCGATTCTAATATCTTTCCAGAGTCTATGCATGAATTATAATTTTCCTTGCTCACAATCACCACATTGTGGACATTAGGGTCATAGTTAAAGACTGCAAAAAAAAAAAAATAAGAATAATAATAATAATAATAATAATAACAACAACAACAACATTAAGTTGCTAATGAATTAATTTGATGTAAAATATGATTGAGAAGTTATTATACCGAGAACATCGCCGCTCTTGAAAGATTTGCCATTTGGCCAATCGGTCACTGCAGAATCCCATTTTCCATTATTTCCAACAATATAGGTCTCTGCCTCAGCAAAGCCGCACAATAGCATTGTTACTATGACAATGACAATGATACTATCATGTGTAGACATCTTTCCCATGAATAAAAGACAAGAGTTTCTAGTACTTTATTAGATACAAATTGTTTTTCTCTTATTGTTTGTTGTAATTCTAATGCTAAAACTGTGGCCTTTTTATAATGCTCAACGATACACTATTGTTCAGGTAAAAAAGGTATCTGACACATTACGGTTTTAATTTAAATTGATTGAGTCAAGTTCGTTACCATAAATTAAGCAAGTTGCAAAAAATCAAAGGAATCCAAATGTTAGTTGCACTAAATCTGGTATAGATTAACTCAATTGTTAATTATAGATAAATCGTTGAATATGAAAAGATTATTATGACACTTGTTACATGTCACATAATTTGAGGCACAATTTATGTTGCTTTTAGTTATTCGACTATAATGTCATTTTCCATACTTTAATTAAATTTGATTTGTTCTACTTTTAATTTTAACCATTGAAACATGTTTTACTTTAAAACAAAAAAAAAAAAAAAAAAAAAAAAAAAAAAAAAAAAAAAAAAAACCAAAAGTTAGTATGTCCTTAGATGCAATACGGCGAAATTTGGTGATTTGTTAGTATGCCATTAAATATTTAAATGCAATAAGGTGAATTTTGGTGAAATTGTTGAAAAGTGAAGGAATTTTAGATTTTTTTAGATTAAAAGTGAAAGCTTTTCTAAAAACGAAGATAATAAGTGAAAGATATCAAAATTATTCGCCAAATTAAAAATAAAAGTTTGAATATATTGTCAGGTGAAAGAATATGAAATACATAAATGTACAATATAATATTTAGTATTGAAGTTAAATTGACTCGATTTATCTTTATAAGGACTTACGAATAGATTTCATAGAGTTTAATACGGAGTATAATTTAGTGAACCTGAAATAGCCGAATAGTAAAGCCATGGGATTGTTATGCTGTGCAACCGTGTGCACCATGGTCTAGATTCATAATTTCTATACTGTAGATTCATAAACTCTATACTGTAGATTCTTAATTTAACTACAGTAGATTCATAATATCTGTATTGTAGATTCATAATTTCTGTACTGTAGATTCATAATTTCTAAACTGTATAGTTATCAAATTATGAACATATAATTATGTGATTTGTGAATACAGAGTTCAACAATTGAGAATATGAACATATAGCTCTATAATTATAAATATATATTTATAAAATTATGAATTTACAATATAAAAATTATGAATCTACAATATAGAAATTATGAATCATGGTGCACACGGTTGCACCGCATAATTTGCCAAAGCGATGCATTTACTTCACGCAAGTATGGATACTTTGTGGAATATGCATGTTAACTTTTTGGCATGGTCCCACAATTAACTATACACTATGTGGCCAACACAAAATAATTATGCAGGAAGCAAAAGTGGTGATAAATATCAACTGCTGTTTCCGTAAGTATAATTTGCATGAAGAATATGTTTTCGTATATGTAGATCATGTCTTCCATTGCCAAATGAAAATTTATTGAGTTCGTACTTAACGGAAGCAACTACTTAACTTGGACTCTAGACATTGAGATATATCTCGTGTCTAAAGAATTGAACCAAACCATTATTACTAAATCACAAAGTAGCAACACCAAGAAGACAGACTCTCATTTTCTTACGTCACCACTTGAACCACGATCTGAAAAATGAATACATAACTTAAAAGGACCCTTTAGAATTATAACTGTTTCGACCAGCAGTCATCAATTGTTATACCCTGACCAAGAGGAATAGTAATATCACTACCATTACTAATGATGAGGTACAGGTAGTGGACTCCATGAGAGCTGAGCTTCCATTATCCTCTATAAGGGTATAGAGCTACTGATTGGAAATGCTTTGTTGTACTCCCAATCTAAACGAACCTTGCTGAGTTTCAGATATATTTGATCATTAAATGGTTGAGGAAGTTGCCTCTTTATCTTTTGAGTTATATTATGCCTATATACGACCTAGTAATCCGTGTGTTGCACTAACTATGAAACTAAAAATTTCATATTCCTTTCAGTTGTGGCATGACCGTTTGGATCATCCTGAGCAGAATATGATGGGTCGGATCATATCCAATTCTGCTAGGCATAACCTTTCGAGATCCCATGTACTTTTGCCAAATATGTTTACATGTCTTGCTTGTGCGAAAGGTAAATATATTGTACGCCCGTCACGTACTAAGGTTGGACATGAATCACATGTTTTTCTGCAAAGGTTGTATGGCGACATTTGTGGACCGATTAATCCACCTTCTTGGCCATTTAGACATTTTATGGTCCTTATTGATGTTTCTACTCGTTGGACTCATGTTAGTCTATTATCCACGAGGAACAAACGTTTCACTAAATTTATTGCAAAAGTTATTGAATTGAATGCCCAGTTCCCAAATTATCTGATTATTAAATCAATAAGAATGGATAATGCTGGAGAATTCACATGGGTTGGTTTTGATGATTATTGTACGGTTTTGGGCATCAAAGTGGAGTATCATGTATCTTATTTCCACGCTCAAAATGGTTTAGCTGAATCTCTAATTAAGCGCATTAAATTAATTACTAGACCATTATTAGAAAAGTCTGGTTTACCGATTTCTTGTTGGGGACATGCAGTATTGCATGCTGCGGCTTTAATACAAATCCGAACCACTACATATCATGATTATTTTCCCTTGCAATACTACGTGGCGTAGAACCTAATACTTCCCAGCTGCGTGTATTCGAGTGTGCAGTCTATACTCCTATACCACTGCAATGAAAACTAGGTATATATGTTGGTTATGAATCTCTCTCTATCACTAAATACTTAGAGCCCTAACAAGAGATCAATTTAATTACAGCAAGGTACGCTGACTGCATCTTTGATGAAGATCATTTCCCAGCATTAGGGGGGGGAGATAAAAGGCCTAATTTAACGAAATGCCAAGAAATTTTATGGGACAAAAAGGATCTTAAGTACCTAGATGGCTAGACCCATGTACTAGTCCAACTGAGCTGGAAGTTTAGAAAATTATTAATTTCTAAAAATTAGCAAATAACGTGCCAGATGCTTTTGCTGATAATAGAGGAGTGACTAGGTCCCATATCCCTACTATGAATGCTCCTTCGAGAGTAGAGTTCCCTGAGGGACCAAGTATGCACATTGATACTCCCCATCGCTAGAAGCACGGGAGGCCAGTTGGTGCACACAATTTAAATCCGTGAAAAATTAGAGTTGGTAAAATATCTCTATTACTCCAAAAAGATTTTAACCGTCCTAAAGACGGAGAACCAAATGTACCTCCGCGTGCTACAAATAATATGAACACTAGGGAATCGAAACATCCAGATCAAAATATTTTAGGAAATGATAATGATTTAGATGATATTAATATAGAAACTAACATAAATTTTGTTGATATAGGAGAAACAAATAACATATCTTTAATAGTTGCCGGCGACACATTTGCTTATGCAATTACCTTTAATATTTCACGTGATAATCTGGATCTAGAACCAAAATCAATAACAGAGTGCCGGAAGCGCTCTGACTGGTAAAAGTCAAAAGAGGCAATAGAGGCAGAGCTCAACTTGCTCAATAAAATAAAAGTGTTTGGTCCCAGTATACTTACACCGAAAGGTGTGATCCCAGTAGGATCTAGGTGGGTATTCATATGGAAGTGTAATGGAAACAATAAGCTGGTTAGATATAAAGCGAGATTGGTAGCTCAGGTGTTCACGTAGAGACCCGGAATTGATTTTGAGCAAACATGTTCTCATGTTATTGATGACACTTCGTTCCACTATTTAATATCACTAGCAGTAAACATGAAATTAGATATGCAGTTGATGAGTGTAGTGACAACTTATCTTTGTGGTTCACTAGATGTTGTTATATACATGAAATCACCCAAGGGCATTCAAAACCCCAATGCGAGTGAGAAGATAGATCAAAACATGTATAACATCAAACTTCAAAAGTCATTATATGGTTTGAAGCAATCGGGTAGAATGTAGTATAACCATTTGAGTGAATTCTACTTGAAAAAGGGATATGTTAAAAATGATATTTGTCCTTGTATCTTTATTAAAAAGTCATCTAATGATTTTTGTATTATATTTATCTATGTCGAAGACATAAACATTATTGGGACAAACAAGGACCTTATAGAAGCATGTTCATGCTTAAATGCAGAATTTGAAATGAAAGACTTGGGTGAAACCAAGTTTTCTCTCGGCCTGCAAATCGAGCATCTCAGTGATGGAATTTTAAAAAGAAATTAAAAGCATTTTAAAACAAAAAAAAAAAAAAAAAAAAAAAGGAAAAGGGTCTCTGACCAAGACCAGTCGGTGAGGTAGAATAATATGGACGCTCTAGTAGAGTAGGAAGAAAAGGAAGGAGACTACAGTTTTTTCTTTGTTTTTTGAATTTTTTTTAGAATTATGAAAAAGTAAACTAATTTTACAATCTGTGCTGCCATGGCGGAAGCTCTGTCGGCCATAGACTTTGAAGGCTTCGAAAAGGTTTGGAAATCTCATTCACTCCACCGTCGATGTTCCGTGACCCGCATAAAATGGAACTCCGGGACCTGACCCGGGCTCAACTCGACTATATTCTTGAATCGGCATTTTGCACCATTGTATTCGAGCTCTTGCGTCGGAGACCACCAGATCCATGGAGGCTGCCTTGTCTCCATCACTCCATGGATCTGGAAGCGAAATTGGGGACTAAGGTAGCAACTTGCCTTCATCCCTTCAAAACGTTTTAAAAAAAAAAATGAAGGGATGAAGGCAGCGGCCATAGCTGCTTTCATTCAAAGCTTAAAAAAAATAATATGAAGGGATGAAGGCAGTGGCCATGACTGCCTTCATCCCTTCAAAACTTGAATAATAATATGAATGCATGAATGCAGCGACTATGGTACCCCGGGGGCAATTTTAGTGGGAAAATCTTAGGTCTTGGCCCAACCGCCCAAACGGGGGTGTTGGGCCAATAAGAATAATGGAAATCTATTGGGCTAAGAAAATAACCAAGGGTATCAAACTCGCGACCTCCAGTATAACAACCTAAGAACCAACCACCCAAGTC